TTTAATACTTCCTCCCCCCACTATTGTGATCCCAATTCTACCTTACAAATCTAGCTAGACCAGAGCATGTACATGGGTACAAATAAGAGCTGGAAACACAGGGAATCCAGGACAGATAAACCCCCCAGGGCCAATAATAAGAGTAGCCATACCAGGAGGGCAAGGGAAAAGTGGGGGAAGAAAGGGGAACTGATCACAATGATCTACATATAACCCTCTCCCTGGGGGACAGACAACAGAAAAGTGGACGAAGGGAGACATCGGTCAGTGTAAGACATGACAAAATAATGATTTATAAATTATCAAGGGTTCATGAGGGAGGGAACAGGAGGGAGGGTGAAAAAAAATGAGTTGCTGACACCAAGGGCTCAAGTAGAAAGAAAATGTTTTGAAAATGATGATGGCAACAGATGGACAAATGTGCTTGACACAATGGATGCATGTATGTATTGTGATAAGAGCTGTATGAGCCCCCCAAAAATGATTTTTAAAAAGAAAGAAACTTGAATAGTGAAAAACGGAAGACAAGATGAATTGCTGCATTTGAACTATGGTGTTGGCAGGGAATATTGACTGTAGTATGCACTACAGAAAGAGCCTTTTACGCCTTAGAAGTAAGGGTGGCAAGGCTTCATCTTTCTTTCCTTTGGACATTTCATCAGGAAAGGGCATCTTCCGGGAGATGGATTGACACAATGGCCACAAATAATGATTCAAACATACCAAAGATCATGAAAATGGTGCAAAATGGAAGCAACTGTTTTCTTCTGCTGTGAGTTGGGCTAACTCAATAGCAACTAAGAACAGCAACAAATGCCTGAAAAACCCTGGCTTTCGATGATGAGAACTGAACACTTGAAAGAGAAAACCATTCACTCAGAAATCTCAAAGATGACCATGGAGTTGTCCAATCATAGATGACTATATTGTTTATCCGATGGTCGTGGTGAAGTGGGATTACTGGGAATGATTCTTCTATCCATGTCTTTATAACTCTCACCAAATGATTGAATGGGACCATGCAAATAAGGTGTGTGAACCACTAATAGAGGAGACAGTTCAGTTTCACCATTCCACTGAGCACAGAGAAGCGAGCCATCTCAGAAGCTGGGAGAGAAGTCCAGGACCATCAAGAAAGAACAACCATCAGCAAAGCCAGTGGGGGGTCTCTCTCTGGAGTGGGGGAGGCAGCAGAAGCACCAGAGGCTGCAGCTCTGAGACCAGGAGACAGAGCAGAGGGGCAGCACTAACACTACGACTGAGGCAGCACCATGCACTGGCTGCCTGGATCACAGGACAAGGCTTGAGTCAAGGGACCACATGGCTGAGAGGCCGAAGGACCAGAGGGAAATAAACCTGTGAGAAGAGGAGTTTCAGACAAAAGAACTGTATCCTTAACATTTTGTGCCTTTTAGCTTCCCTGATAAATCCCATAACCATGAGAGAGAACAAAAAGAATTGACAGACTTATCCATTGAAATGCTTCAACAAACTGATGCAGCACTGGAAATACTCACTATTCTACGCCAAGAAATCTGGAGGACAAGTACCTGGACAAACAATTGAAGGAGCTCCACATTTGTGCCCATTCCAAAGAAAGGTGACACAAAAGAAGGCAGAAATTTTCAAACAATATCATTGACCTCACAGGCAAGTAATTGTTTCCTGAAGATAACTCAGAAACAATTATAGTACACCAACAAGGCACCGCCTCAAATCCAGGCGAGACTCAGAAAAGGACGTTGTTGTTGCTGCTGTGGCTGGGTGGCATTGAGTCCATTCTGACTACCACGACCGGATGTCAAACAGGGAGACACAGGGCTCAGTCCTGCACCAGCCTCACAATTGTTCTTAAGTTTGAGCCCATTGTTGCAGCCACTACATCAATGCATCTTGTCCAGGGCCTTCCTCTTTTTTGCTGCCCTCCTACTAAGTCTGATGACCTTCTCCAGGGACTGGTCTCTCCTGACAACATGTCCAACATACAGGAGATGAAGTCTCACCATCCTTGCCTCTAACAAGCTTCTGACTGTACTTTTTCTAAGACAGATCTCTTCTTCGGTCGGTCAATGGTACTTTCCATATTCTTCCCCGGCACCATAATTCAAATGTAGTGATTCTTCTTTGGTCTTCCTTATTCATTGTCCAACTTTCACATGCAGATGAGGCAATTGAAAATACCACGGCTTGGGTCAGGTGCACCATAGTCCTCAAAGTGACATCATTGCTTTTCAGCACTTTAAAGAGGTCTTTCGCAGCAGATTTTCCCAATGAAATCTGTCATGTGATCTCTGACTGCTGCTTCCATGAGCACTGATTATGGGTCCAAGCAAGACAAAATCCTTGACAACTTCAATAGTTTCTCCATTTGTCATAATGTCCAGTTGTGAGGAATTTGGTCTTCTTTACATTGAGTTATAATCCATACTGAAGGCATCCTTGATCTTCATCAGCAAGTGCTTTGAGTTCTCCTCACTTTCAACAAACAAGGTTGTGTCATCTGCATATCACCAGTTGCTAATGCCGCATTCTCCTTCATATAATCCAGCCTCTCTGATTTGCTCAGCATACAGACTGAATAAGTATGAGACTACAACCCAGACACACACGTTTCCTAACTGTAAACCATGCAGCATTCCCTTGTTCTGTTCACACAACGGCCAGGTACAAGCTCTGAAGGACAACGACTTATCTGAAATTTCCGTTCTTCTCGGGCTCTCCATCGTTTGTTAAGGTCCACGGTCTAATGCCTTGGCAGAGTCAACAAAACACAAGTCAGTATCTTTCTGGTATTATCTGTTTTCAGCCCAGATCCATCTGATGTTAGCCATGATATCCCTTATTCCTGTGAATCTGGCCTGCACCTTATCAATGAACGTTATCTGGCAGCTCCTATCAATGTACTGCTGCAATCATTGCTGGATGATCTTCAGCAAAAGTTTACTTCCATGTAGCAATAATGATATTGTTCTATAATTGAGTATTTTGATAGGTCATCTTTCTTTGGAATGGGAACAAATATGGGGCTCTTCTAGTCACTTGGCCAAATTGGTCTTACAAATTTCCTAGCAGAGAGGAGTAAGTACTTCAAGTACTAATTGTGTGGTTGAAACATTTCAATTCCTTAATAGCCTTTTTTTTTTTTTTTGCCTAATGCTTTTAGTGCAGCTTCAACTTCTTCTTTCTGCTGGTTCTTGCTCATATACTACCTCCTGAGATGGTGGGACATCAACTAGTTCTTTTTGGTACAGTGACCCTGTGCATTTCCATCATCTTTTGATGCTTCCTGTATCATTTAATATTTTGCCCGTAGAATTTTTCACTATTGCAACTCGAGGTTTGAATTTTTCCCTTAGTTCTTTCAGTTTAAGATATGCTGAGCTGTTGTTCCTTTTAGGAAGAAGGAATTAGTTGTCCACTTCGGAGGAATTCGCTGCTGATAACTTTTCAGAGCACGGAAAGAGGCATAGAACTGGGGATACCATTGCTCAACTTCAGATGGGTCTTAGCTAAAACCAGAAAGCTGTTTTCTTGTGTTTCACTGACTATGCAAAGACATTTGACTGCATGGATTATAACAAACTATGGAAGACAATGGGAAGACTGGGAAATCCAAAACACTAATCATGATCATGTGGAATCTGTACATTGACCAACAGGTAGTCAGTCGTTCCAAGATAACAAAGGGATATTTGCTTCAAATCAAGAAAGATGTGCAGCCAGGTTGTATTCTTTCATCATATGTATTCAATTGGATGCTGAGCAAATAATTCAAGAAGCTGGCCTATATATCAGGATTTGGGAGGAAGATTCAATAACAACGTGTTATTAATGTGCCAATGACTCAATCTTGCTTGCTTAAAGAAAACTTGGAGCACTTACTAATGAAAAAAATCAAAGACTGCAGCCTTCAATATGGATTACACTTCAGTACAAAGAAAAGAAAAATTCTGAAATTTGGGCCAGTCATAAACAACATCATGATAAATAGGGAAAATATTGAAGCTTTTAAGGATTTCATTCTGCATGGATCCACAATCAATGCCCATGGAAGTAGGGGTCAATAAATCAAACCACATATTGCATTGGGCAAATCTGTCACCTTGAAGACTAAGGTACACTTGACCTTGGCCGTGGGATTTCAGTGGTCTTGTATGCACGTGAAAGCTGGACAGTGAATACGGCAGACTGAAAAATGATTGCTGCAATTAAAGTGTGGGACTGGCAGAAGAACATTGACTATAACATGGACTGCCAAAAGGAAGGGAAACTCTACCTTCTAAGAAGGATAGCCAGAATATGCCTTACAAATCAGGCTGGGAAAGACTTGTCTCAGGTGCTTTGGGCATGTTATCAAGAGGGGCCAGTCCTTGCAGAAGGACATCATGCCTGGTGAAGGGTCAATAAAAAGAGGACATCTGATAGAGAAAAAGACTGATACAGTGGTTGCCAGAATGGGCTCAAACATGACAAGCACAGGGAGGCTGCCCCGGGCACAGCACTGTTTCATTCTGTCGTACACAGATAGGGTCGCTAGGAAGTAGGACCTGACTTGATAGCACCTTACAACAGTCATGGAAGTCCTAAGACTTTGGGGAGGATTAACAGAGTCAATAGCTGATAAGTAATTAAGACAGGCAGCATAATAAGTATTCAGTCAATGCTACTATTCTTGTTTATATTATACCCTTCTACTATAATTAGCAGACCCACATAGAGGCTTATCTCTTCTCTTTGGTGCCTAGTCAAAAATTTAATCTCCATCTCTTTCCTACCAAGAGGTCCATGTCCTCCCTTTCAAATTCCTCTTACCCTCCTGCTCACTCCCCCTTCCCTGGCCCCAGTGTGGTCTGGATGGGCCCCACAGGGGCAGGGGCAGGGACAGGGACAGGACGTGGGGCTGTATCTGACAGGAACCTGAGGGGCTGGCCTGGGAGGGGACTGGGGCCCAGTTTCCTGAGGGGAGGATGGGCTGAGGCAGGCATACAGTGCCGAAGAAGATGCCCTCCTGGGCCCTCTTCATGGTCACCTCCTGCCTCCTCCTGGCCCCCCAAAACCTGGCACAAGTCACCAGTCAAGGTGAGGTGTGTGGTGGGTGGGGCTTACTTAAGTCCAGGAAGCGGGATCTCTGGGACGGGATACAGAGTAGGGGCCTCCCACTTGGTGTCTCCCCTCCCCACCCCACCCCACCCCTGCTCATGAGCATGCCTAGGAGGACCTTGAGCCCAACTCACCAGCTGTCTCCCAGATGTCTCCTTGCTGGCCTTGGACACAGAGCTCCTGAACTGTTTCTCCCAAACATTCGAGGACCTCACTTGCTTCTGGGATGAGGAAGAGGAAGTGCCCAGCGGGACATACCAGTTGCTGTATGCTTACCCAGGGTATGTGCTAGCTGTGCCCCTCGCCACTCCGTCCTGTGCTCACCTCGTCCGAGTCCCACTCCAATAGCTTCCCTCTCTGTGGCCCTACCAGAGGACTCCCTCAAGTGCATGCCCTGAGGAGCTACTTCATGAAGACATGCTCATTGGTTGTGTTTAGACACCAGCTCAAGCTCCTACATAACTCTGAATCACAACTATCCCAGGCATTGGTCATGGGCCATGGGCTGGGTCCTTAGGGCCATGGGCTGGGTCCTTAGGGCTAAGCATGACGGACATATAGGTAGGACCTCTCCTCTATGCCAACAGGCAAACACCCCGATCCTGCCCACTGAGTTCCGAGAGCGTGCCCCCCTTTGGAATCCGGTACACATGTCAGTTTCCAGCACCAGATGATGTACGCCTCTTTTTCCCCCTGCACCTCTGGGTGAAGAACGTATTCCTGAACCAGGTTCTGACCCAGCGGGTGGTCTTTGTGGATACTGTGGGTAAGGTTCTCTCATGTGACCCCTCCATTTGTGATGACCTTTCCCTGTCCAGCTCCTAGAATAAGAATGCTCTTTGAGGATAACATGGATGCCCCCCCCCCCATTGCCAGACCCCCAGAGACAACTTAAGACCCACTATCTTCCTTTCTGCTTTGGCATCCAGAGCTAAACTAATCCCACAAGTCATTTTGCACCTCAAGTCTTATCATCATTAACGTATCCAACTCACTTCCCCAGTCAACAGGTAGAGAATGCCTACTCTGCGGCAGGCACCTTGCTAGGTGACAGGGATGAAAAGTCTAACAAAGCATTACGCTGCCGTGAGGTCACTGTTCTTATGAGTAAATAGGATAAGAAACCTCCCCTGCTTTGATAGCCAAGAGTTAGACCTATGATCTTTTTGAACCCAGAGGCTGCCCCCAATCCAGCTGCCAGAACCCCTTTCCCAGTGCATGGGTTGACTTACAGAGTGAAGAGAGAAAGAGTCCTGATGTGCTCTTTCTTACCTTCAGGCCTGCCAGCTCCCCCCAGTATCATCAAGGCCATAGGTGGGAGCCAGCCAGGGGAACTTCAGATCAGCTGGCAGGCCCCAGTTGCCGAATTCAGTGAGTTCCTGAGATACGAACTCCGCTATGGCCCCAAGGATCCCAGGAACTCTACTGGTCCCACGGTCAGGCAGCTGCTCTCCACAGACACCTGCTGTCCAGCTCTGCAGAGACCAGGCCCGGCACCAGCTCTGGAACAGCCTCCATGTGCGTGGCCCACAAGACCCCAACAGGATGGATCAGAACAGACCTCCCCAACTAGAGAAGTATTCCAGCCGTCTTCTGCTGCATGTCCTATCCCCTGTCCGTAATTTTGCCCAGGAAGGAACAGGTTATACCACACTGGGTTGGCCCTTGGGGAATTAGTACAGGCTCTGATAGCTCTCAGGAACTACCTCCATTTCAGGATCTCCCACGTTGAGCCATTCACAGTGAACCAATTTGAGGGCCTTCAAGCCTCAAAACGAATGGCACCAGACGTTTTGAGCCCTAAATCCATAGACCTAGGCCCGACTCTGGATGCATACTAATCCAATGAGGAGTCAGTCTCTCCACAGGGTTACTGTGGGCTTCAGACAGCAGAGGTGAAGGCTGTCTCAGATGAGAGGTTCTGAGGCTGGGATTCTTCTCCCAAGGCTCCATCTCTGAAAAAGAAGGTTGGACGCTGCTTCATATCAGGGCTTCAGCCTGGTCATTCCTACTGGCTCCAGCTACGCAGCCAGCCTGATGGGGTCTCCTTCCATGGCTCTTGGGGATCCTGGTCCTTCCCTGTAGCTGTGGATCTAGCCAAGGATGCAGGTGAGTCAACAAAAAAAATGAAAAGATAGGAGAAGGTAGATAAGACCTCTAGGAAGGCCAGGGCTAAATATGGAGGTTCTAGGCATCATGGTGCTTCCTGATGACCTCAGGCTTGCTGCTAGGCAGGATGAGTGATGTTCGGGTACAGAGAATGAGAGTGAAGGTTCTAGGTTATGATCTGGATGCTCTATAGAAGAGGGTCACGTGTTCCCTAACGGGACTGTCCTCTTTAACCTCAGTGGAAATTGGACTGCAGTGCGTCACACTGGACCTGGAGAATGTTACTTGTCAGTGGCAGCAACAGGACTATGCCAGCTCACAAGGTTTCTTCTACCACAGCAGGGCCCGATGCTGCCATAGCAACAGGTGAGAGTTTCCCTCATAATCGAATAATGTCATGGGAGAGAGTCACAGTCTTGCAGAAAGAAGTAAAATATTGCTCTTGTCCCTCTTCACCCCCCAAAAGCAGCCTTGGACTCTCTCCTCAAACTATCAGCTTCCATGGTATTTTATCTTCCCAATTTTTCTCCATTCCCCCAGGACTGCTTTGGTGTGGTTCAGTCTTAATTATGCCACCTGGATCATTACAACCACCTACAGTCTCATTCATCCACAGTTTATCCCAACGCTGTTCACAGTGTGGTCTTTGCTTCTTTCTTTTCACTGTGTGATCTTTGTTAGACTTCAACTTTGCACGATCTTTGTAAAACTCCGACTTTGCATGGACTTCCCCACTTAAATATAAACTGCAACTTCCTGTTGGTGTTATTGGTAAGCTGGTAAAGTCGGCTCCAAGTCATACCAACCCTCTGGATAACAGAACAAAGGACCGTCAGGTGCTGCAGCATCCTCACCTGTTGTTAGGTTTGAGCTCATTGCTGCACTCACTGTATCAATCCATCTGTTGAAGATCTTCCTCTTTTTTGGGGGGGGGGAGGGTTGGTGAACCTCTGCTAGGCATGATGTCCTTCTCCAGGGAGTCGTCTCTCCTGATAATATGTCCAAAGTATGTAAGAAAAGTCTCACCATCCTGGCTGTATTTTTTCCAAAGAGAATTGTTTGCTTGCTCTGGCAGTCCATGGTACTTTCATTCAATACTCTTTGTCAACACCATCATTCGAAGACATTGATTCTTCTGAAGTTCGTCCTTGCTTATTGCCTAGCTTTCACAGGCATAAAGGTGACTGAAAATACCATGGCTTATAACCTACTATGTATTTAGTAAAAAATTAATGAACAGTGAAACAAACATTACAGTTTTTTATGTATTCTTCCACTTTTTTCTAGGCATTTATATGCATCTATATACAATATTGGGAGAAAGACAAGGCATTCTACTCCCATAAAGAGTTTTAGACCTAGAAACCCACTGGAGCAATCCTACCCTGTCTTATAGGATCATGATGAGTCGGAATCGACTTGCTGGCAGTGAATTTGGTTTTTTATATACAATATGTAGGGTTACTATGAGTCTGAATGTACTCAATGGCAATGAGATTTCTTTATATACTATTTAAAGGAACACTGGTGGCACAGCAGTTAAGCACCCAACTGCTAACCAAAAGGTTGGTGGTTCAACCCTACCCAGTAACCCCACAGGAGAAAGAGGTAACAATCTGCTGCAGGCACCATCCAAGCACAGAAAACCCTAGGGGCAGTTCTATTCAGCCACCTGTGGTCACGATGGGTCTCAGTAAGCTCAAAGGCACCTCATAGCGTATACAGCATTCAGTATATTCCGTAACAATATAGATAATATTTAGCCCTTTAATATAAATCAAATCATGTTCGATGTTTGAGCTTGTTAACAGTTTTACCTTAAAATATGTTCCGAAGATCATTTCCAAAAGATATAATTTCTTATTTTTCATAAGTGCATAGCTGTGCATACAGCTCCATGAATTGATTCGCTCATTCCCTGCCATCCAGTCAATGGCGACTCGTGGCAAATCCGAAGTCATTCTTTCCCTCGCCAAAACCTGCATCTCCTCAACCTCTCCTCCATACTGCCATCAGCTGTTTCTCGAGGCCTAAAATATGGAAAACCCTGAATTTCTCCCATCCTTAAACCTCCACGTCCTGTCAGAAGCAGTCGTGTCATTGCCTGCTTCTTCAATACCCTTTGAATCCATCGATTTCCCTCGATTCCCACTACTACTATCCCATTTTCAGCCGCTATCACTTCACACATGGAAAACCACAACAGTATCCTAATGGATTTTTCTGCCTAGAGTCTCCCCATAAATTCTTTCTACAAATGGCAACTAATGGTCTTCTTAAAGTACAAAGTGAGTTATGATACTTCCCGACTTAAAATCCTTAAATGTACCCATAATTATTCCACATTAAATGCATACTCCTTGGCAAGGTGGCCACAAACATCCATGCAATACTCAGTGGTCCTGCATTTATCATTAGCCAGCATTTTACACCACTGAGACATTTCCCACAGCACAGTCTGTGTGTCAGCCTGGACCTGGGATAGCTATTAGTCCTTTTCGCCTATCCTATTGCTAATCTAAGACTAAATCCAGGCACGGTCTTGTCCAGGAAGTACGCCCTGACCCTCTTAGTCTGTGTGAGAGGCTCCTCCTTGGGTAGTGCTCCCCAACCCCTCTGGCGCAGCATAGTAGAATGTCAACATCTGTTTTGGGGTTTCTCTCCGCCGCCCCCCCAAAGTGAGAGATCCTTAAAGACTATTTCTCTCTGTATTCGTAGGCCATAGCACAATTGTGGGTTAGATAAATGGACAAACATATGAATGCATGAAGTAATAAATAATTTTTGAGATGCTGAACCATTTAGGGAGCTATAGTCATTGGGACTAGAGTAAGAAATAAACTGGAAGTGATTCCACACTGTTTGACTTACTTTTTAGTGAGGGTGAGGGAAAAGAACAAGTAGAGAAATTTTGAAAATGACATTATGTGACAGAGACCATTTGAAGGGTTTCCCTCACTGCGAGTTGATTCTGACCCCTCGTGACTTTATAGGACAGAGTAGAGCTGCCGGTTGCCAAGCCTATACATTTTTGCAGGAAAAAAGTTCTCGTCTTTCTCCTGAGAAGCAGCTGGTAGTTTTGAACTGCTGGCCTTGTGGTTAGCAGCCCAATGCACAACCCCCCAGTGGAAGGACGGTCGGTGCTGATTTGGACTGGGTAACCGGGAGTCCGCCCAGGGGGATGGCAGGTGAACTGACTCCTAAATGGAAGAAATAAACCAGCATGTGCGGATCTAGGGTCAGAGCAGTCCAAAGCCAAGCCAAGAGTGCACTTGGCATATTTCTGGCACAGGGAGAAGGCCCAGGTGAACAAAGCATGATAAATTAGCATGCAAATGGTAAAAGAATGGTAAGAGATGAACATGGCAAGGGAGGGAGGAACCAGACATTATAGAGCCCTGAAGGCTTTGGGGTTTTATTCCAACCGGGATGGGATTTTAATCATTGAAGAATTTTTGGAGAAAAGTGATATGAGTTATTTTTAAAGTGATAGGCTTTTATAAAATTATAAATGAATATGTACAAATATGCTTGATACAATTGATGTACGGAATGTTATAAGAGCCCCAATAAAATGACTTTTTTAATTGTAAATGGAGCATACAAACAAGATCACCGCTCAGGAACCCGCCCTAACCTACACAAGAGATGGTGGTGGTTTCATCTAAAGAGGTGGATAAAGTCATCATTTATGCTGGACGCATTGGTTTTTAAGCACTTTGGGAAGCAAATGCTGGTAGCAGGGTGGAGAACAAATGGAAGGTGAAAAGTCAATTTGGAATAATCTGATAGACCAGAAGCACATAGCCTTGATTATGGGAGCAAATAAACATAAGAACATTTTTTTTTCTATAAAGATGTAGGCCTTTTAATCCTTTTAACCGTCTTGTGAGATAGGTACTGCCAACCCATTTTACAAATGAGGAAACTCGGGCAGAGGGGAATTAAGAAATCTACTCTAAGTTATATACCAATGAGCTGAGATTTGAACTCTATAGCCCATGCAATTTTCCTGTAGCATGCTCGCTCTTCCCATAAAGAGAAGAGGCTGAACATCAAGGGGCCTCAGAAGATAAAACAGGAAGGCTGAAGGCAGAGGGCCCCCACAGGAAGGACTAGATGGCCGATAAAATCCCTTATAAAATTAGAATTTATCAGAATTAGATAGTCTGATTCAATGACTATGGGAATCATTCTTAGGGACCCCATCTGGGAGAAGTGTGAAGAGGAGACAACAAATCCGGGATTGCGGCCTCCTCAGCTCTCCCGCTGCCACTTCAAGTCACAAAATGACAGTGTCATTCATATCCTTGTGGAAGTAACCACGGAACAGGGTACTATTCATAACTACCTGGGCTCCCCTTTCTGGATCCACCAGGCTGGTAAGAACTTTATTTCTCACCCCTCTTATATAGCCCTCACCCCAGCAAAATCTGTCCCCATTCCTAAGATCCCGAACTCTGACCCTTCTAACCTGTGGCCTGATGACATGATGCCTCATGCACATAAAGGCTGAAGTTTATTCCTGCTGATGTCACCGCAGTGCTCATCCCCACCCCAAACTTGCACTGGAGAGAGGTCGCCAGCGGGCAACTGAAACTGGAGTGGCAGCACCCATCAACCTGGGCAGCCCAAGAGACCTGCTATCAGCTCCGATACACTGGGGAAGGCCATCAGGACTGGAAGGTATGGCCAAGGGCTTACTACAGAGTCTCACGACAGAGTCTTACCACAGAGTCTTACCACAAGGCTTACTACAGAGTCTTACTAGAGTCTTACCACAAGTCTTACTACAGAGTCTTACTAGAGTCTTACCACAAGTCTTACTACAGAGTCTTAC